GAGATCACACAGGTCAGACCCACTACTTGGTCCGGTACCGTCTGGGTTTGTTGTTGGGGCTGTGGGTGGTGGTAGGGGGTGCGTTTGGGGTGGGGGGGGGGGGGGGGGGGGGGGGGTCTTAACAAACCTTCCGCCTCTACTTGCAAGTCCAGTTTCTAAAAATTTTTCAAAAGATCCTATTTGCTCAGCTATACGGTGGCTTTTTTGTTTTTTTTATTAACTCATTATTCTGGCGACCATTTATGGATAACTCCACATATTCTATTTTAATTTTTCTAGGCATTGAACGTAATTTAAAAGTTTGGAAGATAGATCGTCGTTGTTTAATAACTCGACGACGTGCATTTATAATAACTTTCTTGATTGTTTTATTTGTGATTATATATGATCATCCATTTCTTTTTTTCCCATATGATGTATCATATTGTTTTTTTAAATTATTTAATCAATTAATATTATTTTCATGTGATAATGCATATTATTATGCATATGGTTATAAATTTTCATTAATTAATCTATTATTTATTGAAAATATTGGTTTAAATAATTTAATATTACCTATATTTATTATATCAACGAATATAAGTTTAATATTTGGTTTACGTCGTCGTGCATATCAACGTCGATATCGTTTAGGTCGAACAAAAAATTATGATTGGAAAGAACGAAGTGTTATACTTTATATGTTTCTTTCGAGTTTAGCTTTTCTTTTTTTAACATCACCCATTGGAATTTTAGGTGTTTGGGCAACTATTCATGGTCAACATATACCAACGAATAATTTAGCATTTATATTAGATTTATTAGAAATAATTCATCATTGTTCACATTTTCCTATCCTATTAATGACAAGTTCAATAATTCGTAGAACAACATTTCAAATACTTTTTCAACCTCATTTATCAAGACAAAATTCACCAAATATTTCAAGACAACCTATACGAAAACATTCTCTCTCGTAATAAAAAATAAAAGATATTCATTTTTTTAATTTATGTCTTAAGAAAAATTTTCTACAATCATATCATTAGCTATTTTTATAAAATAAATTGAACACAGAAAATCATAGTTCGTTCTTTCTGTTATTTTTTGCCAATAATAAATCTTTCAAAAGAAATTAAGATAAGTAAAAAAAAAAAAAACTGAAACAATTTTTGATTTTCAACTAATTCAAAAGAAAAAAAGAAACTTATTCCGTAATTTCGTTATCAATGCTATTTGCATATTCTCAACAGACTTTGAAATAGAAACAGTCATTTCAGAAGATCGCCAAAGTACATAAAAATCTTCAACAGCTTACAAAGAGATAAACATAATCAATACAAAATCATTTTATTTCATTTTTATTCAATTCAACCAAAGTAGGACTATGAAATATTTATATCAATGAATATTATCATTGAACTAAAAGATAAAAATTAATTTAACTAACTGTTACTAAGGTCAAAATCTGCAAGACATTAAAATAGTTTTACTTCAAGGACGAAGTAAAAATATAGTTTTGATTTTTCTTTCGATTTCATTGTATTTAGAATTGTGCACAGTTGGATATGTAATAAATATTAAATATGAGTTTTATATTTTTGAAGAAGAAAAACTAAAAAATAAGAAATGAATTTTTAATAGAGCCAAATAAATTAGAAAAAAAAATAAACACGGCACAAATTACCAAACCAACAAATTTTTTGAGCCGTAATGCTCCACAACCAGTTTTTTTACTTAGACCTTTTCAATATTCAACACCAAATAATCAATATTTGAATCGACCAACTACTATTATTCGACCTATACTTTCTTCAAATGTTAATTTACCAGTAAGATTTTCATTTTTGATTTATTACACGACTAACAACCTAATTATAGGATAAAATGTTATTTAAAATACAAATTTAATTGATGAATGCAAGAGAAAAATATTTAATATGTAAAATAAAACATATAAATATCACTTTCAATTTCTTATTTTTGATTATTTTGAATAGTTTTTAAATTTTTATCTTTCAAAGCAAACATTTATGAATGAATTATCAAGTGACACAAACTATACAACAATACGCTTTTACAATGGTCGTATCTTAAAATAGAAACAATGAAAAAAAAAAGAAAAATCTGAAACAGTCATAATAAGATTGAATGTTTGTTCGAAATTAAAATACTGAGAATTAAAAAAAATAAATGCGAAAACATCGGATTTAAATCCGAGTGTTATGTGTACTTCAAAAAGTGACCAGGTATATTCACTTTGTTTTTTATCATCTGAGACAATATCTAGACTATTTGCTTTCTCAACTGTAGTTTTTATGCATTTTGAGCCTTTTTCGGGGGATTTTTTGTTAGAAAGCTACAATTTGATTCAAAACTAATATCAGATTCGGAATCAGCGTTAAAAACTGAGTCGATAGATATATGTTGTGAATAATTCGGAGAAAAAAATTTTTTTTTGAAAAAANTCTTGACGGATCCTGCTCATCTTCGAACTCGACCGAGACATTGTTAAGACTGAACTGTGTAGAAAATTTCATCGTGATCGGACTCTCCTTTCGAAAGTTATCGTGTAAACGGCCGGACGGACATACTGACCGATTCTAGAGTGTACTCACTTTTTGAGTACACAAAAAAGAACTCTTATTACTAATTAAACCTGCTATCTATAATATAAGTAAAACATAATTTTGATAAAGACATTAAAAGAAGTCTATTGAATAGCAAAAAATAAAAAGTTTTCTCAATATTATAGATCGTTCGACCACCATTTGTACGACAATTTCTTCGACCACCAATCGTTCGACCTCTCTCACCAAGATCCGTAATACGTGAAAATTCATTTAATGAAGTTGATCCAATTACTATTCAAAGAAAAACTCCTATTAGAATATCACCATCAAATGAATCATCATTATCTATTCCAACATTATCAACAATTAATTCAAATCATGAAGAAATTCAAGAAAAAAAATCATGTTGTTATTGTTTTCCATGTTGTCAACAACAAACAATAAGATCTTCAAAAACTAATAATTATTCAAATTTTACATTCAATACACGAACAATTTGTATAATTATTATTCTTCTTTTTATCTTTTTTCTTATTGTCATTATTCTTCTTATTGTCTTGATTGTTGTTGTTCATCGTTAGTTAACTTTCTTTCTTTCTTTCTTTTTTTTTTTCTTCTTCTTTGTCTCAAAAGTATCAAAGTGAAGAATCATGCTGTTACTGTGGTTATATCGCTTCTAACGATACACATATCGTTTGATCTATACGATATATACCGCCAATAAAACTGACTGATTCTCTAAGTAGTTCACCGCTTTACTGCTCTTCAAGTAGTATTGCTGTGATAGAAACAAGAGAGACAAAAAAGAAACTAGATATCATTTATTTAAAAGAAAAACTTCTCTTGGGTTCACATAATGATGAAGATCAGACTATACATCTTGACATAGCAAAGTACTCTTTGCTTTTCAATTCAAGTATTTGTTTTTTCTGTGGACATCATATTCATCTTCTTCAATCATATTTATACATATATATATGAATATATTTAAAACACAAAAATCTAGTATACATCTATTGAATCATTAAGAACACAAAAAAAAAAACATGTAGAACTGAGAATTTATTTTAAGATTGAAATCTTGAAGTAACAATTTAGAAGGACTTTTTTTTTTTCCTACAATACTCTACTCTAAAAATAAACACTTTAAAAGCCTATCTCTTCCATTTTTTTTCTTCTTCCTATTCTATATTTATATTATTGAAAAAAATAAAATGGCAAGGAAATCCGAGTATGTTATTTCTATAGAAACAAACAGAACGACAAAACAGAAAAAGAAGATATAATATATATATGTCCTCAAGCAATTATGTCTATAAAACAAAAAAAGAAAGGTTACTTTATTTAGTTTTTTATTTGTGAAATTATTCAAATTACAAAAAAATTTCATTTTATTTTTATCTCACTTAAATTTCTTACTTGAATTATAAACAAATTAATAAAAGAAAAATTCTTTTTTAGGTCTTTGTTTTTTTTTTCTCTGTGGGCGATAATCAATTTTAGGATTCATTTGTTAGATGTCTACTATGAGAATTTATGTACATATATATAAATAGATCATTTTTTTTTTTTTGTTTTACGATTCAACTGAAGTATACTCTCCACACATCAGTCTCAACAATAATCAATCTATGAGAAGACTAATTGTCACCAATGTGTAAAAAAATCTCTGTTACTGTTGATTTACAATCTTTGATAAGCATCAGAGATTTTTCTTTTTCTTCTATTCCGTCAACCAATAAGAATCTATTCATTTGTTGACCAATAGAAAATTTAAGAATGTAAAAGAGAAAAAAAATGAGAGAAAAAGGAAATGATTATTCTCAACATGTAGACAAGAGGTCTCTTTTGTCTTCGTTTGTATATGTGAAAAAAAAAAAAAAAAAAAAAAGAAAGAAAAAAGTAGAGAGAAAAAGAGTGAGAACGAATAAGTAGCACATATACACACGCACATATTTGCCCGTGTCGTGAGTGGAGTCGAACCTCTTCAATCGATCTCGAAAGCCTTCTGAGAGCCTTCTCAGAGCATCTCTCATCCCGCACGCCTTCGTTCGAACACGGTAAGTGGCCAATTCTTCTTTCTCTCTTTTTCTTCTCGCATTTCATTTCTTTTCTTTATCGTCATTTTTTTATTTTCAATAATATTCATACAACAAATCATCCTTAAAAAAAAAAAATAAAATAATAAAACAAAAACCATGTTTCAGGATAGTTCAATATCATGTCATACGATTCATCATCTCCACCATCAAGATCAACACCTATATCATCAACTGTACCGACACAACAACCACAAACATCATCATCATCAAATAATGTTGATGATACACCTAATTTATCATCATTACCATCATCAACAACATATGATCCATTTTTTCCAACATTTGATGATGGTTGTTCAACATATTCAACAAATAATAATAATTTAAAAAAATCACAATTATCATCATTTGATCCAACAATATATCAAAATTCATTTGCAAGTCATTTTTCACCAACAGGTGTACCATATCCATTTTATTCGGACGCAGCAACATCATATTTTTCAAGTCAAGCACGTACATATTCCGATTATCTTTGTCAACCAACATATCGTACATCAACAACAAATAATCCAATGACAACAAATCCTGTATCAACATCACCAACAAATACAAATAATCCATCAACTAATTCATGGTATCAACCGACACATTGTACGGATCCAAGATTTGCAAGTAATAGATTTTTAGAAATAAAAAAAAAACAAAGAAAAATCAAATTTGTATTTTGTTTTTTATTATAGTGACACGTTTATTAACTGGACAAACTCCATCACAATATGATATGTATCAATCAGCTACAGCTATGATTGATCCATTAAAATCTGCTTATCATCCATTTGCATTTGCACCAAAACGTAAACGACGTGTTCTATTTACTCAACAACAAGTTATGGAACTTGAAAAACGTTTTGATAAAAGTCGATATTTAAATGCTCAAGATCGTGATCAATTAGCACATTCATTAAATTTAACATCTACACAAGTTAAAATCTGGTTTCAAAATCATCGATATAAAACAAAAAAAGCTGCAAAAGAAAAAGGTGGTAATAATTGTGTTGATAGTGGAGATGAACAACCAATGTCAACTAATAATCCTCATCAACATCATTCACAAATACAAACGAATATGTTTCATTCACAAGTACAAATTCCATCTGCACATCAACGTCTTCATCATGCACATCATTTACATCATCATACACCACTTCATTTACTTAAACATGAACCACGTTAATTATATAAAACAAGAATTATTTCGAAAACAAAAAAAAAACAAAAAAAAAAAAATACTATTCTATTTTGATTCTTTCTTTCGTTTTCTTTTTGTCGTGCAATTTTCTTCTTATTGTGTTTTGGCCAATTGTTTTTTTTTTTTAGAAGAAAAAAAAAAAAAGAGAATTATGTCTTTATCTAAAAATTTTTATCTTTTTATTGGATATGATTAATTCTATTTGCATGTTAAATTCAATCATCATCATCATCGTTGTCGTCCGAGACCAAAACGGGCCTACACTCTCAATGTCATTTTGAAGTGGTAGACGCAGCTGGATAGAGACAACAAGTGGATGAAATGTTGGCTCAACGACGATGATGATGACGACGACTAAATGAAAGCAAAAGAGAAATATAAAAAAAAAATGCCATCTCTTTCTCTTTTCACATACATATCGCATGTGTCAATATTTATTCGATATAAACCAAGCAGTTTAAGAGTCCAACAAAGAAAAAGACATAATTTTTCGACTAAATCACTGATGTAATAGTTTGTCAGCACGTGTTAATCATAATTGAAATGTATTTAACAAATTCAAGAATGATGATGCTTTCTCATTTTCCTTTGATGGAATTAAGAGAGAGAAAAAAAGGCGTTTTCTTTCTAAAAAGGTTTATTTTATTTTATTTTTTTCATTCAATATATATACCTTATATTGCCTATGGCATTCATTTGTAAAATAAAGACATGATGATAATGATGCCTGAAAGACAAAGAAACACTTAAAACACAAGTAAACCAAGTAAATTGAAGAGAAGAAAAAAAAAAAAAAAGAAAGAAAGAAGAAAGTCAAACAACCATTAGAATAGATTTGTTCTATTATTCTTCTTGTTATGTTTTTTTTTCACTAATAGAATATCCAGGTCATATTAAACATTAAATTTTACTATCGTTGTTCACAGTTTTTGTTATCGTTTTGTTTTTCAAGCGTCAATTGATTATGTAAATATATTTATATACATCGATAGGTAGGTGGTATTATTATTTGTTCAAAACTTAATTTACAACCATTTTTATGAACGTAATTATATTTTCTTCATTTAACAAAAAACAAAAAAAGAAACACAGTGATAATTGAAGTTAGTTAAAATACGATTTTTTTCTTTTCAATATTCATAATCATAAGGAAAAAAAAAGCAATTGATTCAAGTAGCTACTTGTTAAATATATTTCGTCGTCATCCTATGGAGTTATGCAATTGTTATACACACGTGTCTCTAGATCGATGCTAAGCCACTCGCAAAATATAGCGCGCGCTCGACGGGAGATCGACGAAAGAGAAAAAGAAAAGTGGCGTCCAACCAATTCTACCTTCGTCGCCCCCCCCCCCTCTTCTATCCTCTTTCTGATTTTAAACTGTAGTGATTTCATGTATTGCAATAAACACACGGAAATAGACTTGTTTGATTTATATGAGAGGCGGGTTCATATGTATATATTAAATATGTCACATCAGAAAGAAGCGGATAGTTGAAGAGAAAAATATTAAGATTTTATTGAATCAAATGTATATAAACAATTAGTAAGTTCCAGGGGTGATGATCCTCCCCCTGCCATTCTTTCAATCCTAGCAGCTTCAGAACATGCTTGATAGGTTCTATTAGAAAATAATTAAAACATAAACTTTCTTTTGAAATAAAATATGCAATTAATAAAATGTTGAAAATCATGTTAAACATGTTCAATTAGTTGAATAATATAATCAAGTTAATAATAATTCGTTTTTTTTTTTAATATTCTATTGTTGTTGTTCTATGTTAGCTTCATTATTTCTATATATACTTTAGAATTGTTGAAGAGGATAAACATTATTATTTTTTCGAGTGAATTCTTATATCGACAAGCTAGCTATCTTGCCTATTAAACGATTAGAGAATCCATCATCACATTGACAAGTACCATCTCGTTTTATTTTTTCTTCATTCGATGTTTATTTGTCGACATATAATTAGTTGTTGAGAATATTGCTTGTTGGATAAATGCGTGAAGACATAAGAGTACTTCTCACCTGTACAGACTAAATACTCAACTGATTGGACTCATATCAATAATAAGATGAGAATGAGATAAATAATAAAACATCAGGTATTTTAAAAAAAATCTATATATAGATATTTCGTTTTTTTTTTTCTTCAAATTGTAATTAGCGATTTTTCTTTTTTTTTTTTTGCCTGTGGAATTTTCAAGTAGTTCCACTCGACAAAATAGTGCGTGTGTATGTCGAAGGGAGCCAGATGATGATTTTTTTTCTTTTTACTCTTGTTCCTCTTCCGTCATCATCTCATGATTGGCTAGTGCTCTATCGGAAATTTCACTTCCGATTTATAGAGGTTATATGTTCGATGTGTGTGCCTTCTGCTCAATTACATGCGCGTCTAACAAACATTTGTTGCTTACGTCAGATTTTTTTCTTTTTTTTCTTACTTAAAAGCAAGTATACCGATAATGGACACCGCACACTATTGAATATACTCAAGAAAAGTCCTTCAACATCACCTGTGCAGACTTTTCTTATTATATATTTAATGGAAAAAAAAGAAAAACTACGAAGCTAACTTGTTGTTTCAAGCATAACAAATGAAGATATATTCTTGTTCTCCATTTTGACGTCATTAACAAATTTTTTACGATAAGATGATTTTTCACTAACCCTTGTGGAAAGCAATTAGAGCCAATGAATCTACATTATATATATAATATTACATCGAAGTGAAAAAAAAAAACCGAAAAATGCTCACTCAACAACATGTTACTTCTTATTAAAATGAGACATGTTGTTTTGTTTGTTACGAAAAGACAAGAAAAAAAGAAAATTTTTTTTTTCTCATTGAATAGATAAATATGACGTCAAAAATACAAAGCTCTTTTACACATATGTAATTTTAAACAGCTCATTAATGACACGTGGATAATAATTATGATTATTCTTATCGATAAGAATATAGAAAAAAAAATGATTTAACTTATTGGATACAGAGTACGATTATGGTTAAAAATTATTTTTTAAACTTCATTGATTTGTTTGTATTATGATATATCAAAGATAAGCATAAAATTATGAGGCCATATTATACAAGGATTTCGTGCGAGTGGTTAGAAGAAATCATCCCACTTATGAAAATTTTTCGTTTTTATTTCGTTTATTGATTCTCAAAAAAAAAAAGCAACACGTTCGATCTCGTCCATTTTATCAAAAACCTTCCAATCGACTTTCTGGCGTTCTCAGCACACCCTCGGTCATGTATATATATATATTCTAATTTTAATTAGACTACTAATTAGTTTCTCGAGAATATGATAATTGTTCCCTCTGGTGCTCTTAATGTATTTGTAAACGAAATCAAGGAAATAATATTTTCAATAAGTAATAAAATCTTATATAGTTTAAAAATCATTTAAATGAAATATTTATTTGCCATTGTTCTAGATTAAATAATGAAGAAAAAGAAAAAGATTGTGTCAATACAAATGGCAGTCACGGCCTGAAGCAGCCAACACTGGCAGCGGTGAAGAGGAGAGGATTGTTGTGTTTTTTTTTTTTTTTTTGCCCAAGACGAATACTTGTCTTCTGACAAAATGCAAAAATAACTTTCGGCTATATTGGGAGAAAACACAAAATTTCCACAATTGACAGGCACGTAACTCATAACTGAAGGGAGATGTTTGAGTGGATGAATTTCAGAAGCAGGAGAGGCATAAAGCTTCCCACGAGAGTGAGAGAATGTATAAGAGTGTACATCCATACAATACTTGAAAATAATTCATTATTATCCAGCAAAACGAGAAAAATTGCTTCGAGATTTCATCCTATCTGTTTGAGATATTTTTATGTACACCCTCGCATAGAACTTGCCCAGCTGTTACCATTTATTGGAAATTTTCCACGCCAACATTAATATTTGTAAATAAAAATTTATTGAATCTTTTATAAGAAGTTTTTTTTTTTTTCCTTATTTTTATACATTAATAATATTGATAATTAAACGATAGACTTACCCTCAGAGAAAAAAAAAATCAAAAATTAATTTCCTTTCTTTTTTCTTTGAATTATTATTATCTAAGAAGATATTGAAAAATGTTCAGAATTTTCGACAAAAGAAAAAAAAAAAGAATTTTTTTTTTTTTTTCTTTATTTAAAAAATAAATACATATAAATCTATTTATTTCATGATGAAATGTGGCATTTGTCTGAATATATATACACAATTCAATTATCTCAAGTCTTAATTGAGAATCGAACGGCGCCGAATGTTAATCACAATATCTACGCGTGCAATTTTTTTATCGTTCATTTTTCTTTCTTTTCTTTTTTTGTGTCTTGTCGGAAACAAATCTACCAATGAAATTCATTGGATTTATTCGTTCATTGAACATTCATTGGTGAAAAATAAAGAAAAAACTGAAGGAGAAGAAATGAACATAACTATTCTTTTCTCTCTCTCTCTCTCTCTCTTGTCAGTTTAATAATCCTCCACTTTGTCGTTGAAAAAACGCAACACCAGCCGAGAAAAGTACTTCTTATATTCATCATCATCATTGTAGAAGACACTTCTGTCCTGTTGAGTGCGTCAACTTCAAACGACGAAATAAAAAACTCTCTTCTTCGTTTTCTTTTTTTTTTTCTGTTACTTAAAAAAACACAACATCATCATCATCATCATCATCTTCTGTGCACTACTAGGTGAAGTGTTGTGTGGCTGCGTACATCTATACATTCATACATAAGCGATTGCTTTTCTTATTCTTATTTATTTATGGCACTCATAGAACAGACGAAGAAAAGAGCAAAAACCGATTAATAATAATATATAGAAACATACTTTAACTAGTCGACAAGAAAAAAAAAAACAGTTACATACGTCATCATCGATCACGAACTTTTTCTTCCTAGAGACCTAGTTATTTTATTGAATGAGCCACTCGTAAAAGCTTCTTGTTCACTTTATTCGACATGGCAAAACAGGAACAAATCGATAATATTGCTTACTATACTAATCAGTAAGTACTCTTTTATCTTTTTAATTTATAAACATACAATCGTTCACTCTTCATTTTAATAATAACTCTCTATGAAAATCACTTATTACGAAGAAAAAAAAAATATCACAATTTAATCATTAAAAAAAAAGAAAGATCTTGAACAAATTTAATGCGTCTTATTTGACTATTATAAAAGAAATTTTTATTTTAGTTATTTTGAACTTTACAAATACTAAATTTTGTTTTTCGAATTAGACTATTTAATCTTTTTTTTTTTTAGTCCCATCAAACGAAGTTCAACACCTTCTTCAATGGTTCCATCAATAGTTGGTACGAATACTGGCATGCCATTTAGTGTAACAGATATTTTACAACCCTTAGATGTTGATGCATCAACACCTTATAAACGTTCACTTGAAATGGCACATGCTTTAGCATCATCATCATCATCAATTTATAATTCTCAACGTCCATCAACAAGTGCTACATCAGCTAGTCTTTGCAATCCATCATTTGGACCATCATCCGTACATAGTAGTTATTATGGTCCAACAGCAACATCAACATCAGCATTTTCTCCTAATAATCAATATTATGATTATAGTAGTACATTACAAAATAGTGGAAATACAAATACAGTAACTGGACAATATTCACCAAGTTCATGTTGGTATGGATCAGCTGCAAGTATGTTTTTTTTTTTTCGTTTTGAATAAAGAATTATTGAAAACAGAAGAAATATTTTATTGTTTTAGTGTCTCGATATTTAGTTGGTTCATCATCAGCTGTTGATAGTGCAGCATTAGCTGCAAGTGTATATGGACATCATCAAGATCCAATGATGAAATCAGCATATGCACAATTTCCATTTGTATCACAAAAACGTAAAAGACGTATTTTATTTAATCAAGGACAAATCTATGAATTAGAACGACGTTTTAAACAACAAAAATATTTAAGCGCACCTGAACGTGAAAATCTTGCAAATATTCTTCAATTAACACCAACACAAGTTTGTTTTAATATGATATTTTTAATGTAAAAATTTTTTGTTTTTTTATTTCTCAAGGTTAAAATTTGGTTTCAAAATCATCGATATAAAACAAAAAAACAAGCTAAAGAACGTGAAAAACTTGATGCGAAACAATTTAGAAAAGATCATCATCATCATCATCATCCTCAACAACAACAACAATATCAACAACAACAACCACATCAATTCAGATAGACTAATTTCCATTTTGGTTTTATGTCCCGTGCAATATGCAAGCATTTCTTTTTCGTTTTTTTAATTATTTGCTTCGCACCGGTGGGACAATTTGATTTTCTTCTTCTTCTTCTTCTTTTTTTTTCGCATATGTATAAAAATTTATGTTGAGTGCGACAGTGATGGATATATTCGTTTTTGTTTTGTCTATTTACCATTGGCCTTCGCATTCTTCTTCTTTTCTTTTCTTTTTTTTGTCTTCGAAATAAAAACTCTATGATTATAAAAAATATTGAATTTCATGAATAAACATTATGTCAATCTTGATTATGATGTATTACTTAAGATTTTTATAATCATTGATGGTGCAAAATCAATTGTTAGAAGAAATAATAAAGTTTTCAAATAATTTATTTTATTTCTCTTCACCTAATAGTATAGACTACGAATGTTGAATAGCAAGTTCACTTTTATTGATAACAAACAATCAAGAAGATCAGCTATTACATTTCAACTATTAAATATTATTTCATCAGACTTCAATGATTTTGATCAAAAACATTAAATATCATACAATCAGTTTTTAGAGAGATGGAAGTCGATTTACAATTATATTATAGGTCTTGATTCAGTGTAAATTTTGAACATAGCTTATGATGATAGGAGAGATTTCAAAATAATTAATCACATGTTGGATATATATAGCAGGAATTGTATTCATCAGAATAACAATAAACAAAATCATGAGATTATGTATTAATTCTCTGATATGAGCTACAGAGTCGTATTAATTATATATATATACTATATGTTAGATTCAGTACAGTCTGTCCGCAAGTAGCACACTGATATATGACAGTTCTAGTTTCATTGAAGCTTTCATTTCATTTGGTTAAAACGGTAAACACGCCAGAAGGATAGAAAGTCGTGGTAACGTACTTATTCAAAAGGATCTCTACCATATAGTGCAGAAACAACTTTTATGATGGTAAGATTTTATTGTTTAAAATTTGTTCTTACAAAGAGTTACTGCCAAAAAATTATGATACTCACTTAAAAAGAACAGTTTTGATAACAATAACAGATAATCCACTGATGTCAAACTGTAGCTCGATCTTCGATGATACTACTATTATGTGAATTTTATAAAATGATAAAGTAATGATTGAAATATAGTGTTAGACAATAAAACCCATTTTTCACATAAAAAAATGCTTTATTTTGGCTGATGACTATCATTTATTCTTGTTGTTATTCAAAACAAATGACATCTATCGATAGGAAATATACGAAAATCGATAAAAAAAATTTTGAATGAATAAATTCGGTACTCTTATGTTCGAGAAATCTTCTGTTCAATTTTAGCTAAGCGCATGATCTATTAAACAGGAGGCGCAGATTATTCTGGGAAGCGATAACTTTCCATTGCTTTCAAAAACTCTCAAAAGAAAATAACGAATAAAAAAAAAACATTGAGAATTTTTTTTTTCCTATGACAATATAAATACAACATTTTGTGCAAATACTAATTTTCAGAAAATTAAAAATCTAGATAGTAAATCCAGAGATGTTCTGAAGTGATCAGAATTTGGCGAGAAGAAGAGTCGTTGATTTTTGGGGAAAAAGTTTACTTTCGGAGCTCGCGAGGAAACTATCGGATGTCCCTTTTCGATTTCAATAATTTTTAGTGTTGTAATAAAAGCGCTAAAAGGATTTTAGTTTCTATGGAGATTTGATGAAGCTATTGAATTTTGATCTGAAATTTTGTGTATATAGAAAATTTAATAAGATTAGCTTCCATAAAAAGTTCTTTTCCTTGGATAGTTTATTCAACATGTATTTTTTGAAAACTTCATATCTTAAAGACGCTTTGTTCAAAACTAGTGACTTTTTCACTGAAACATCTAGAAAATAAACATGTTAAATATTCTATATCTTAGTTAAATCTCAATAGGAATTCAAATCTATTTAGGGCTTTTATTATAGAATATTATTTAATATCTAAAGGCAAAAAATTATTGAAATCGAAAAGAAACATCTGAGAAGGTTCGTTTGTCAATGTCTTGAACCATATGTTAGTGTCCTGTGGAAGGAATCTGATATTATATTGAATAGTTCTCTTAACTGAACGTTGATAAATTTCGCCATACTAATTATAAGTGATTTATTTTACTAAAATTTTCCTGCATAGTGGCAATGGATATCGAAAAAATTTGTTTCTGCAAGAGACTACCATATGTCTAGAGAGAAAGGCTTAGAACCATATAGAATGAGCTGAACCATCGTCTGACTACGTCACTAGATTAGAGATGGTTCACTTCCTGCTTGGAATATCGTTGAGAAAATCTGATTATTTGACTATTTCGAAAAGTGTTAATAGTATATTTTATATGTACATGAAGATACTTCGACGTGGAAAGATATATTATGTTTTTCTTGAGAGAAATACTCTGAAATATAAATTTAATATTATGTATTTTTTTTGTTGTTGTTCAGTGTACTGTATTATCGTTATTCAATAACGTTTATGATTCATAATAAACAGCTGTAAAAACTTGTGCACTCATATCAAACAATTAGATAGTAAGATCAACCACATATTTTTTTGCATGTTTGTATAAGATCGTGTATATGTATACATGATTATGAGAAAACTCGTTGTTTTTGCCAAAGAGTTTACTGTTTTGTTCTTTATAATCTATTCAAGTGCTTACGAGGGAACATTCCCAGGTGTTGGAGAGATTTTTAGTCGAGACTTTGCGCATCTTGTAGGCCTTGATGAATTATGTCTACCGTAAAAAATAGTTCGTGCCCCTAGCTTGTTTCTAGTGAGATATCG